AAACCTGTTGTAGACCACACATCACACACCCCATCATGGGCAGCTCCGGTGCAGAATGCAGAGGAAGGCATGCTAAAGCTCTGCTGCCCTTATGACATGCAGGGACGTTATCTCCACAACACCAACACTGAGGTGGCACAGGACGATAAGTCACCTCACCTCAAGTGTCTTGGGGCAAGGGAGGGTGGGGCTGGGGTTGGTTGTATCAGCCTCCTCACCCTGGGGTGTCCTCAGACCCTGTCCTGGAGCTGCTGCCTGTGAAATCAGAGTGCCACCTGGCAGGGACCTTTGGGCAGGTGTCGGTCCCACAACACAGTCTTCAGAGCCCCACCTATGGGCTCCAAGGTGGCCCTCACCACAGAGGCCAGCACCAGGTGGCACCAAGGTCATGCGGGGACCAGGCTAGGGCTGAAGGCCAGACCTGCCACTAACGGGCCTAGGGGACATAGGCCCAGGCTGAGTCTGGTTGCTGGAAGGCCATGTGGGAAATCCTGCTCCCTGAGGCTCCTCCAGCCCAGCGTCCAGAGATTGTGACCCTATTGTGATCCTCCTTGCTCAGCTCAGCACTTAACTTCCCTGCATGGGAAAGTCTCCTGGTGCTGACCTGATCTTCCGAGCAGTGGAAGCCCTGGCCGAGTGCCAGCAGAGACAGTGTTTCTGCATTTCAGAGATCCTGGAAAGATGAGTCCTGCATCTCCTCTGCGATGTCCTCCACCCCGGCGGCTTGCCTCCAATGTGCTCCCCCAGGCAGCGAGGCTCCCAGAGCCAATGCCCAGGTGGCAGACCCCACCCATGCTCTGCTTGGTGCAGAGGGGATGTGGGCATCCTTACCTGGTACACCCCGGCCCCTGGGGGCAGCCTGGCCTTTGGTGGCACAGAAAATACCAGGTTGCCAGGGCAGATGGGGACAGCTGGCTGTTCAAGTTAGCAATTAATAAGTAATTCATTAGGTGCCTAATGAACAAATTATTAACCTGGCAAGCCATGTCCAGCCACTGGGGAGAGAAATGGCTGTTGGTAAGGCCTTGGAGCGGCAGCTGTGGTTCAGTGGTGAAGGCGCTGGGCAGACCCACGGGAGATGTGGGCTCCGGCTCTCGGGCCAAATCACTTTACCTCTCCTGGCCTCAGTTTGACTGCTCATGTAGTGAGGGTGACCGAACACTTCTAGTGGGCAAATGAGGTGTCGGACACAGTCTATACAAAGGCAGGGCCTTGGATTATATAAACTGTAAGGGCCCTTAGTTCTAGCTTTCCATGACTGAACCTTCTCAAGCCACTACAAGGTATGCCTGGGCCATCATTGCGGCCCCGTGATTGGGGAGTACTCACTCACTACTTCAGACATGCCTGGAACCCTGCAGAGGGTATGCAGTGTAGGGAAGATGTGTACAATGTGTCCCTGCGCTCATGGAGCTTCCAATTTTGTTGGGGATATCAGATGTTTGTACACAGTAAACTACCTAGAATATAAAGCAATTTATGTCTGGGCTGAGAGCTGTAGAATTGCACAGGAGAAAGAGAATGTGAGCTGGGATGCTGGTGAGGGCCTCAGAGGAGGGTGGGGACTTAAAGAATGGCTTCCTTGTGTGTATTTTTTTTTATTATAAAAGTAACATGCTCATTCCTCCAGATCTCCAAATGGAGGAAATTGTAGAGAAAAAGATACAGATAATCTGTAATCTCATCACTCTGAAACAGCTGCTGTGACATTGTGTTTCTGGGGAGGAGGACCTTGACAGGCAGAGACCGTGAGAGGATATTCCAGGTGGAAGACATGCCTGAGTGAAGGCTCCGGGGCGGGGAAGGGTGAGACACGTGATGGGCGCTTTGGGGATGGATGTGTGGACAGGGCAAGCTGGAGCAGGGATCCCAGTGCAGAATGGAGTTGAGGCCCATTAGGGCAGAAAGGGCTGGAAAGGATGGCAGGGGCCACACTGCAGGAGTGGGAGGGGTGGGGGGAGCATGTGAGAACAGAAGCCCCAGCCAGCGGGCCAGACACTCTGCTCTTCAATAACATTCATGACGTGATGGAACTTACTGATGTAGCTGTCCCGCTTACACTGCAAAAACCTCTGCAGGAAAACAGACAAATCTGAGGCTGTGACAGAGTTGCCAGAGAGTGTGGGAGCAGAGGGGGCAAGGAGGGCCTACTTTCTGCTCTTGGTGGGGCTGCCGCAGGAGTGTGAGCAAGACTCCTCTGGGATAGGGGATCTGTCCAGGTTTGCTCCCCATCCAGCAGGGGTGACCTCTCTTCAGACACTTGCCTCATCTCCAGCGGATTTCTAATCCATGGCCATTGTTTTTCTGTCATGTAATAGAGATGTTTATAGTTGGCAACAACTCTTTTCCATAAGGTAATTAATGGATAACAGATATTCCTATTATCTCCATTTTACAGATGAGGAAATTGAGGTTCAGAGAGATGAATGATTTACCTAAGCTTAAATAGCTAGTGACAGAACCAGGCTGAGAATCCAGATCTTGGGACTGCAGACCATATGTGTATATGTGTGTGTGTGTGTGTGTGTGTGTGTGTGTGTGTGTAATTAGTGGCCCCATCCTGCAGAGGGTTAGCAGTATAGGTTGATGGTAAAGTGAATGGTTTTTGGAGACAGGGTGTTTTGCATGCAATTCTCTGCTCTGATATTTTACTAATTGAAGAATATGAAGAACTTTGGACTTGTTCCATCTTATCTTCATATATCAAATGGGGCTAACACCCATTCTTCAAAGTGAAGTATCACAAGAATGGAAAAACACCACACACACTCACCGTCAAATTGGTACTCATAGATCAACATTTATGTGCACGTATGGAAGTAACATTCATCAGGAATTGGGCAGGTGTTGGGGGGAGGAGGGGATGGGTAAATTCACACCTGATGGGTGCGGTGCGTGCTGTCTGGAGAATGAGCATTCTTGTAGCTTTGACTCAGGTGGTGCAAAGGCAATTTATGTGACCAAAGTGTTTGTACCCCTGTAATATTCTGAAATTAAAAAAATCATAGAGATAGAAAGTATAATGGTGGTTGCCAGGATTGTGGGGTTTGGAGAATGGAAAGTTATTCTTTAATGGGTACAGAGTTTCAGTTTTGCAACATAAGAATAGTTCTGGAGATGGATGACAGTGATGGTTGCACAATATGAATGTACTTAATACCCCTAAACTGTATGTTTAAATATTTTTAAGATGCTAAATTTTATGCTATATGTATTTTACTACAGTAAAAAAAATTGAAAAAAAAATGGGTCTAACAGTACTATTTACCTCCCTGGGTTATTGTGAGGCTTATATGAGATAATACAGGGGATGTGGACTTAGTATATAGCAAGTGCTCAATTAATGATAGCTTTGATTATTATTGTTTTAACTCTGTGCTCATCTGAGTCACATAAATAACTTGAGTCTTGTGATTATACCTTAGTTTTCTGCCATGGCCAGTCACTTTGGAGTTAAGAGGAATACATGTCCAGTTGTGCCCCAGGGATTGCTTGGCCCTAAGGGTAGCAGATTCATAATTCCCCAAAGGACTCTCTGATTAGCCAAACACCCCCATTCTACAGGATGCAGAGAGTTCTTTGGTCCCTGTGATAGAAACTTCAATGCTCACCAGACATTCCATCTATTTTCTCATATCCAGTTTTTTTTCTTTTTTCCAGATAGAGACCCTTTTATGGATAATAGTTTGGGACAGATTGGGAAAGTTCCAGGGCCTGTAGTGATGAGATTCCCAGGAACAGAGTGGCCCAGACAGACCAGCAGACAAAGGGACAGGGAAACAAAACCAAATGGGTAAACAGTTGTGTCCAGGTATCAGATCTAGCTCTGGAGACTTGGTGGAGCAGGGCTGACAGGGGCTTCCATCCTGGTAGGGCCCCTCTCCTCACTCCCTGCTGCCCTCATCTGGCATGCTGGGACCTTTGGCAGGTAGAGTTTCCAGGGCTATGGAATGGTTGGTCTGAGTGGGCAGAGGATCAAGGCTCTTGGAGACTCCCTGGAGAGGTGGAGGCCTGGGTGGTGTGGAGTTAGCAGCACTGGGGGGAATCTGGCCAGGCTCCCAGTGCCTGGGGTGCGGCCACTGCTCAGCAGGGCCCCTGTGTCAAGTGCAGGCCCCCTACCCTGCCCACTACACCAACATGGTGCAATAAAGTTTCCAGTGGTTAAGTCGGTGTTGAACAGGAGAGCTGGAGGCTTGCAGACAGGCAGGGGCTCAGAAGAGAAGCCCCAGCCACCCACCACGTCGTCTCAGTGGGCTCTAACTGCATTAAGTCAATCTTGGGCACTGGAGTGATGTCCGGCCCCGATTTCCACATGGTACTCCCTGCAGGGGCTCAGCCCCTCAGACCAGTGCCAAAGCCTGCTCGGTGGGGCAGAAGCAGGGCAGCGGGGTGCCCACAGTGTCCACGATCGCTGCCAGGTGCTCATCCTGTGCCTGAGGCCCACAGAGCTGCATGAAGTCTGCCCGCCGCAGACTCAAGTACTCAAGGTTGTGGCCAGAGAAGCCTCAGCAGCCCAGGATCTGCGTAGTGATGGCCTCCTCAGGTGCGGGGCCCAGGTAGCCAGGGTTCTGTGGGGTGGCCACATAGGCCAATGCCTTGAGTGGTTGCTCAGGGGTATCTTGAGGATAGAAAGTGACCTCCTCGGTATCACAGGCCAAGCACTGCCTCCCGACATTCATGTACTTCAGGGCCTCACTCACCTGGTCGCCTGGCACCTGGTGGGCCGCGCCCCAAGTGCAGCCCTCATGATCTTCAAGGAGAATCACCACACGGCCAGGCATCTCGTCGCTGCCCCGACGGAAGGTGTCTCCCTGCCAGAAATGGTGGCTGTAGCCGCGCACGAAGCTCACACGGCTGTCGCTGTAGGTGAAGTCAGGCCTCCATACGAGAGGGCCGTAACCGAAAATCCACAGCGCTTGAGCATCGCTGTCGTCCCCCCGGGTTCTGGGCGCAGGGGACGGTGAGCGGGGCGGGTGTTCGGGACTGCGGATTCCTGCATCATGGTGCCGGGCTCAGGAGGCTGCCACCTTGGCCAAGGTCAAGCAGGTACCTGAGCGCCTCTCTGAAGAAATACCAGACGGAGCAAAGGAGCAAAGACGACGCCCTGGACAAGTGTCAGGCTGAGCTGAAGAAACTCCGCAAGAAGAGCCAGGGGAGCAAGGACCCGCAGAAGTACTCGGACAAGGAGCTGCCGTACATCGACGCCATGGGCAACAAGCAGGGCGAGCTGGAGGGCTACGTGCCCAACGGCTACCAGACGGCTCTCACCGAGGACCGCTGGCGGTTCTGCTTCCTCGTGGAGAAGCAGCACGCCGTGGCCAAGAACTCCGCCGCCCACCTCGCCAAGGGCAAGGAGCTGCTGGCCCAGAAGCTGCCGCTGCGGCAACGGGCCCGCGCCGACCCCACCAAGATCCCCGACCAGCGGATGCAGCAAGGGGCTAGCGGCAATGGCGCCATCCTCCCCAGCACCCTGTCGGCCTCCAAGTCCAACCTGGTCATCTCAGACCCCATTCCGGGCGCCAAGCCCCTGCCGGTGCCCCCCGAGCTGGCACCGTTTGTCGGGTCCCAGAGCAAGCTGAGCGACTCGTACTCCAACACGCTGCCCGTGCGCAAGAGCGTTACCCCCCAAAACAGCTATGCAGCCACTGAGAACAAGACTCTGCCCCGCTCCAGCTCCAGGGCCGCCGGCCTGCAGCGCAACGGGCGCATGCGGGTGAAGGCCATCTTCTCCCACGCAGCGAGGGACAACAGCACCCTGCTGAGCTTCAAGGAAGGGGACCTCATTGCTCTGCTGCTGCTCGAGGCCCAGGACGGCTGGCACTACGGCGAGAGCGAGAAGACCAAGATGCTGCAGCAGGCAAGAGCAGCAGCACCAGGAACCTCCTGGAGAAGGCCGACCTGGCCCTGCCCGCCCCCCCCCCCCACTACGGCGCGTCCTCCTGGGCCTTCCCCACCCAGATGGCTGGCACCTTTAAGCAGCGGCCCTACAGCGTGGCCGTGCCCGCCTTCTCCCAGTGTCTGGACCACTATGGTGCCAGGTCCGTGAGCAGGAATCCCTTCACCCATGTACAGCTGAAGCCCACGGTGACCAACGACAGGTCTGCTCCCCTCCTCAGCTGACGGCCACGTCTGCTCTGCTGCCCATGTAGCCACCACCCCACCCACACATGGAACCTGTCTGTCACCATCTGCGGGTTCCTGCTTAGGGAATGGCCGCGCCCCTGCCTGCTGGGCTGTGCCCACTGCAGTCTGGCCTGGATCCCGGCTGTACCTGGCAGAGACTGCACGGACTGAGGGCTGGTCCCTGAGAGGCCCTGGGGCAGAGGGACCCTCCTCGTTGAGGGCAGGCACCTCTGGGCCATGGGCCGTGGAGCCCTGGGGCACCCTTGGGTCTGGAGGACAGGGAGGACATCCAGCCAGCAGGAGCTGGAAGCGGAGCCCAGCTGCCATCCCTCCCACATGTGTAGTCAATAAACAGGCTGCCCCTCCCCCACCCAAAAAAAAGCCTTTATTCAGACTACTTTTAAATAACTGGTTGTTTTTATTGTCAGTGTTTTATTTTCCCCAAGTGTATTTTTTCTCTATTCTTCTATTTCTTTGTTTCCCTTTATATATATATATGTATAAAATTCTTATATATATATATGTGTGTGTGTGTGTGTATAATTTCCAATCCAGGATATTGCCCTGTCACCCATGAAAACTATTCTGGCACCAAAAGTAATTACAAATGTTAAGTGTAATAGAAAAGTAGAGCAAAGAGCCATTCAGCTTCAGTCTTTACATACCATGAATAAAACATTAAAATGTCACATGGAGAAGTTTACATGGTGATTGTTCACCTGCAGTACTGTAGACTTTCAACTTTTTGTCCCCTTTTCAGTGAAACAAAGTAAAAATATTCATCTACCATTACTGTTATTTGCTGATTTTATTTTATTTTGATGGTACTGTTCTATCCTTATGACACTATTGCAACCAAATTGGCTTTACTATCTTGGCTTTAGTAGGTATAGAAGACAATGGATTCCCATCTTTATTGCTGTAATGTGTTAAGTATTATATGCTAGTAGAATCTAGTTTGTCTCAGGTGAAAGTATTCTTTGAGTTTCCATTTTGAATGTATTTGGACTAAACAAACAATAAACTACTGATGTCTGCAGCAAAAAAAAAAAAAAAAAAGAAAGAAAGCCTAAAGGTGTCGAAGGGAATGTTCAGCTGGAAACCGGAGATAAAATAAACTTTATAATTGATAACAATGAACATACTGGTGCTGTAAGTGCTCGTAACATTGTGCTGTTGAAAAAGAAACAAGCCCGCTGTCAGGGAGTAGTTTGTTCCATGAAGGGGGCATTTGGCTTTATCGAAAGAGGTGATGTTGTAAAAGAGATATTCTTTCACTATAGTGAATTTAAGGGTGACCTAGAAACCTTACAGCCTGGAGATGACGTGGAATTCACAATCAAGGACAGAAATGGTAAAGAAATTGCAACACATGTCAGACTATTGCCTCAAGGAACCGTCATTTTTGAAGATATCAGCATTGAACATTTTGAAGGAATTGTAACCAAAGTTATTCCAAAAGTAGCCAGTAAAAACCAGAATGACCCATTGCCAGGATGCATCAAAGTTGCCTCTGTGATTCCTAAAGAACTTCCCTTTGGAGACAAAGATGCAAAATCCAAGATGACTGTTCTGGAAGGTGACCATGTTAGGTTTAATATTTCAACAGAACGACGTGACAAATCAGAATGAGCAACCAATATGGAAGTTCTATCAAATACATTTCAGTTCACTAATAAAGCCAGAGAAATGGATGTGATTGCTGCCCCGAGAGATGGTTTTGGTTTCACCAAGTGTGTGGATCGTGATGCTCATGTGTTCTTCTACTTCACTGAAATTCTGGATGGGAACCAGCTCCATATTGCAGATGAAGTAGAGTTTACTGTGGTTCTTGATATGCTCTCTGCCCAAAGAAATCATGCTATTAGGATTAAAAAACTTCCCAAAGGCATGGTTTCCTTCCATTCCCATTTGGATCATCGTTTTCTGGACACTGTAGAAAAAGAAGCCACTTTTTCCAATCCTAAAAGCACTAGCACAAATAAAGGCAAAGAGAAGGAGGCGGAGGATGGCATTATTGCTTATGATGATTGTGAGGTGAAACTGGCTATTGCTTTTCGAGCCAAGGATGTGGAAGGATCTACTTCTCCTCAAATAGGAGATAAGGTTAAATTTAGTATTAGTGACAGAGGCCTGGACAGCAGATTGCAACTTGTGTATGACTTTTAGATCATAATTCCAACTCCAAGAGGCTCTTGGGTTATGTGGCAACTGTGACGGATAATTTTGGATTTATTGAAACAGCCAATCATAATAAGGAAATTTTGAATTGTATTGACTTTATTTTACTGTATTCTAGTTCTGAGATTACTGACCAGAGGGCAGTATGTGTGTGTTGATGTCTGTCTTGGTTCTTCTGGGACAATTATGATTTAGAAGATTCTGTCCCACCATTTATGTATACCAAAAAATACTTTCCTAATTCCTGAATGTGACACAACTTTATTGTCAGATTTTATATTGTGATTTTAGGCTATGAAAATGTGATCATTATATGTACATCGAGTAATTTTTATTTATTGTGAATGTTTGAGTAGCTCACTAGCCCAGCCCTCCTCTATATTGGCTAAGAGAGTTATTACATTTTTTAACTATGTATTTGACAGCAACGTGTATCTTGCTATCGTTTTTGGAATACTCAGTCTATTGCTATAACATTTTAAATGAGACCATGAAATTTAAGGGATTCTGATTAAGTTAATGAGTATGGTTCCAGGCTCTTTCCTCTGGGTCCTTGAAAGAGAATAAAGGTTATGTTTATCTTTGTTATCAGGTTTGCTTAATTCTTTTGAACTATGATCTTAAAGGCACAAAGAGTACCAACCACCTTGCTCTTTTGTTAATAGCAGATTTATATTGCAACAAGAAAATTGTTTTTCAGAATAAAGCTCAGTTAAAATCAACTTAATTCATTGTTGAATTTCTAAAACAGAATTTGGACTTATATCAACATCAACATGTATATATGCTAAATGGTCCTCAACTATTGTCTGAATTTAATAAATGATCAATTTTTAAAGCATTTTAATATTAAAAGTTATTAAAGAATGTGGTCATAGCAGTCTTACCTCTGCATTTTCTTTCAATTGTAAATTGCAATTATTTGTTGGATATTTTGGCTATAAAAATGAAAATGTGAAACATTTTACTGCAATGATCCCCGTGCATTTTTTCTGGTGTCTCAGGCTTCCAGTTGGACTTGAATTCCCATGTTGTCTAGTTTCCTACCTAGAGGTGTATCTTCTAGCAAGGAAACAGAAAAGAGTCAACAACTATTTGACCAGAAATGAGTTTTCACTTACCTTGTAAAACAAAAGCACAAACAAAAGAGAAAATGGTCGGAGAGAGCTCCCAAAACAGAATAATATAACGAGAAAGATTTTCCAGGTGTCTCCACAATCAAATCCATTAAACAAAAATAAACAAATAAATAAAAATAAGAAAGCTTCTCACGGGACAAAGGAAGGGTTGCGGCCTCCAATCTTCTTTATAGGTATGACCCCCGCTGTAAACAGTGGATCAAGGTGGCCTCCATGAACCAGTGCCGTGTGGATTTCTACCTCGTCTCCATTGAAGACACGCTGGTGGCCGTCGGAGGCCGGAATGAGAATGGAGCTCTCTCGTCGGTAGAAACGTACAGTCCCAAGACCGACTCCTGGTCCCATGTGGCCGGCCTGCCAACGTTCACGTACGGCCACGCGGGCACCATCTACAAAGACTTCGTGTACATCTCGGGGGGCCACGACTACCAGATCGGCCCTTACCGCAAGAACCTGCTGTGCTAGGACCACCGGATGGACATGTGAGAGGAGCAGCGGCCCATGACCACGGCCCACGGATGGCACAGCATGTGCGGCCTGGGCGACAGCATCTACTCCATCGGGGGCAGCGATGACAACATCGAGTCTATGGAGCGCTTTGTCGTGCTGGGCCTGGAGGCCTACAGCCCGCAGGCAACCAGTGGACCCCCGTGGCGCCGCTGCTGCACGCCAACAGCGAGTCGGGCGTGGCCGTGTGGAAGGGCCGCATCTGCATCCCGGCGGGTACAGCTGGGAGAACACCGCCTTCCCCAAGACCCTGCCGGTGTACGACCGCGAGGCCAACAAGTGGAGCAAAGGCATCGACCTGCCCAAGGCCATTGCCGGCCTGTCGGCCTGCGTCTGTGCCCTGAGGCCGCGGCTGGAGGACAAGAAGAAGGGCAAGGGCAAGAGACACCAGGACTGGGGCTAGTGATTCGCCGGCGCCCGCCTGGGCCTCGGCCATTGCCGAGCTCCCGAGTGTCTGTAGACCAGCAGCTACTGCTCAGATCCTAGCAACATCAGGCACTACTTTAGTAGCTTTTTTTACTTTTATGATTCCTGGTATTTCTATGATATCACAGTAACCGATTAAATGTTATATGTAACTTTAAAAAAAACTAGACAGACAGGACCTTGTTAGGCAGGACCATGTATTGATAACTGTTTCTGGCCCATGGAATGTGGGTGAAAGTGACATGCATGACCTCTGGCCAGCTGTATGCCCTCCAGCTCTCTCTCCTCTTTCCTCAATGACTGAGGAGACCTCCTGCTCCAGATGCAGTAGCTACATGATGATAATGCATCAGTCAGCCTGGATCCCTGAGCCATTGTGTGGAGCAGAGGCCTTGACAACCTACATTGGACATTTTACATGAAGAAGAAATAAACCTTGGTGATGTTAACCCTTTGAGACTTTGCAGTTGTTTGTTGCAGCAGCAACAAACCTAGCTTAATAAATAAACACATTTTTGTCAGCCAAAAACTGGCATTTTACATGAATACGTTGCAGTGTGCAGCTCTTCACAGTTTATTGTAGAGTAGGCTCACACACATCATCTTTTTTGGTCCTTAGAACAATTGTGTATATGGAAATTCCCCCTGATAAGAGCTCAGTAAGTGTTCTTCCTTATGTAAGGACTTCTCTAAAGTCTCCATTTCTATATATATCCATTATTCAGTAAGTCTGTCTCCTCACTACACCCAAATTCTGCCACCATAGTTTCTGAACTGTATTGCATGTATTTGTTTGTAATCTGCCTCCCCATATCAGGCTGGAAGCTCCTGGATTCTGTCTTATTGAAGTCACAGGCAATATCTTGTAGATTTTGTGTCTATTCCAGCACCTGGAGCATAGTAGGTGTTTTAACGCTGACTGAATGAGTCGTCAATTATGTGAAGTAGGCAGGGCAGGTGTTATTAGTTCCGTTTTACTGAGCTGCAGTGAAGTTTAGGGATTTGCCCCAAGTCAGACAGCGAGGAAGTGGCAGAGTCTGGGGTGAGTCCCGTCTTCTGGCTAGAGAGCCCTGTGTGACAATCACTGAGTGTTTCCTGCACAGGCAGTTCTGAGGATCAAATGAGATCACGTGTTCAATAGCACTTCATACTTGGGGAGGAGCTGAGACATGTAAGGCATTCTCATTACTTTCACATTTCCTGTCTCCAAACAGCAGGTCAGGAGTCCCATGTGGTGATGTCAGAAACTGGAGAAGGGCCTGGCTGGAATCCTGCACACATTGAGGAAAGGACCAGGATGGAAGTTCCCTGGAGGAGGAGACCTCTGTGCCCCACCCTCAGCTGCACAGCAGTGCCTGGAGCATGGTAGGTGTCCAATACATTGTTCCATTGAACACACAGGAAACAAGAAAGGAGGCTCCAATGTGAACTCTGAAGGGACGGGCCTGTGAAGGGAGTGGGTGTGTGGGGACCCTGCCGAGGCTCCCTTCCTTCCCTCCCTCTGGTTATGTGAATCCCCTGGGCCCATATGTTGTTTGTCAAAGATGTCAGGCTGGGTTGGTGGGATAGTTTCACTCTTCTGAAAAGCCTTGTAGACACCCCAGTTGGACTTTCATAGCACGGCTGTGCATAACATGGGTCCATCTATGATGTGGATGGAAGGGTGAAGGGAGCCTCTCTGTCACCTCACAGAACCCCAGCTCCTAGAACTGGGGGGGATTCAGAATTCATGGCACCAGCCCTTGCAGATGCATTAGCTGAACTTGTGTGCCTACTCCAAGAGGCTGGTTGTGGCTGCCTGGAGCAGTGAATCGACGTCTTAGCTGTGATCAATTAAAAATAACTGCTGTGGTGAGGAGAGTGAGTGGCATGTGAATGCCTCAGATTCGCCTTCTTAGATCTCATTCGAACGCCTTTCTCACGGTGCCTGACTTCTACAATTAGAGAGCCATTACTTTGCATTAAGGCCTTGTCTCTCTGTTAACATTTATGGTAGCCACATTGGGAAAGACAGGGTCAAACTATCACTCTTTGCTGATGGTATGATATTATACCTAGAAAACTTCAAAGATTCAACCAAGATACTCCTGGGATTGATAAATAAATTCAGCAAAGTCTCAGGCTACAAATCAATGTATGCAAATCAGTAGCTTTCATATACACTGATAACAGTCAAGCTGAGAATCAAATCAAAGATGCAATAACTTTCACAATAGCAGCAAAGAAAATAAAATAGCTAGGAATATATTTAACTAAGGAGGTGAAAGACCTCTACAGAGAGATCTACAAAACACTGAGGAAAGAAATTGCAGAGGATGTAAACAGATGGAAAAACATATCATGCTCATGGATTGGCAGAATCAACACTGTTAAAATGTCTATATTGTGATTTACAGATTCAATTTAATCTCCATTAAAATACCAACATTATTTTTCACAGACCTATAAAAAATAGTTCTATGTTTTGTGTGGAATCAGAAAAGACCCCAAATAGCTAATGCAACCTTACTTTATAAGAACAAATTGGGAGGCATCGCTTTGCCAGACTTCAAGCTATACTTATAAGGCTATAGTAACCAAAACAGCATGGTACTAGCACAAAAACAGAAACATAGATCTATGGATCAGAACAAAGAACCCATATATGAATCCATCCTCATATCACCATCTGATCTTCGACAAAGCAGACAAAAACATACCCTGGGGAAAAGAATCCCTATTCAATAAATGGTGCTGGGAAAATTGGATAGCCACACGTAGAAGGATGAAACAGGATCCACACCTCTCACTCCTCACAAAAATTAATTCACAATTGATAACAGACTTAAACCTAAGGCACGAAACTGTAAGAATTCTAGAAGAAAATGTTGGAAAAACTCTTATAGATATCAGCCTAGGCAAAGAATTTATGAAGAAGATCCCAAAAGCAATCACAGCAACAAATAAATGGGACCTGATCAAATTAAAAAGCTTCTGCACAGCCGAGGACACAATCGATAGAGCAAATAGACAACCTACAGAATGGGAGAAAATATTCACATGTTATACATCTGATAAGGGGCTGATAACCAGAATATACAAACAACTCAAGCAAATCAGCAAGAAAAAAATCAAACAACTCCATTAAAAAGTGGAAAAAAGACATGAAAAGAAACTTTTCAAATGAAGATAGACTAATGGCCAACGAACACATGAAAAAATGTTCAACATCTCTAACCATCAAGGAAATGGAAATCAAAACCACAATGAGACATCACCTAACTGCAGTGAGAATGGCTTTTATCGAAAAGCCCCAAAACAGCAGATGCTGGTGAGGATGCTAAGAGAAAGGTACACTTAAACACTGTTGGTGGGGCTGCAAACTAGTACAATCTCTATGGAAAGTAGTATGGGGATACCTCAAAGAACTAAAAGTAGACTTACCATTTGATCCAGCAATCCCACTACTAGGTATTTACCCAAAGGGAAAAAAGATATTTTATAAAAAAGACCCTTGCATTCAAATGTTTACAGCAACACAATTCACAATCGCAAAGACGTGGAACTAACCCGAGTGTCCATCAATACGTGAGTGTATTAATAAAATGTGGTATATGTATATCATGGAGCACTGTTCAGCCACAAAAAATAAAACGGTGATCTAGTTTCTTTTGTAACAACCTGGATAGAACTGGGTACCATTCTTCTTAACAAAGTATCACAAGAATGGAAAAACAAACACCACATGTAGCAACACTACATTGTAACTAACTGATCAACACTTACGTGCACATATGGAAGTAAAACTCAAAGGAAATAAAGTAGGTGGGAGGAGGGAGGAGGGGATGGGTAAATTTACACCTAACGGATACAATGTACACTAACTGGGTGAAGGGCACACTTAAAACTTTGACTCAAACTGCACAAAAGCAAATTTGTAACCAAAACTTATGTAGCCTGGTAAAATTCTGAAATTAAAAAAAGAGGCAGAAGGAAGGAAGGAAAGAAAATAAATAAATAAATCATGGAATTTGAATTTATCTTAAAAAAACATTTATTAAAATGTATTTGTGTCAAAGAGGAGTCGCAAGAAGGTATTGAACAATTCAGCGATTGCAAAAAAAGACCATTATCAGTTTTGTTGGTTCTGGAAAATGCCGTGCACCAGTAACTCTTAAAATAAATAGGTTTTATCACCTCACGTAGGATCTGTTTATCAGACTGTCTTCCAAAGTGGCAGCTGCTGAGAGGAAATTGGAGAGCAGGTCAGTTTGGTGGAAGGTGGGGTTGGAAACTCGAGGTGTCCTCTGCAATGAGAACACCAGGGGGCTGGACGTATGGAGGAGCCAATACCTGCGGGAGGGCACAGACCAGCTCTACTCTTTCCTTTGCTTAGAAGCCACCAACTCTTGATACCCCACCTCCAGTGACATGGTTGGTTTGTCTGTAGAAGACCGAGGCTCCTTATTGGGAGAGTCCTGTGCTCCTGGCCCTGTTGCTCGTTCTCTGTGGGCTATGCCACTGTCACCCACTTCAGAGGATTGACCTGGGGGTAGACCCAAGGTTGCAACTTCTTCATTTCTTCAGAATAAAAAATTACTGGGTTCACCGGGCTGGAATGCAGGGGGGTGGGTGGGGATCACACTGCCAAAAAGAATGAAGTAGTTCACTGTGTTGATAACAAGTCTGACTCCCAGGATTGTACTGAGTTGTTATGGAATTAGACTTTAAAGTCAAGAGCATAAGCCAATGTAGTTTGAATTAAAGGAACTTAAATGGTAAAAAATCCTTCAGTCAGATTTATCAATTTTTCCTAAGGAGAACAGAATGGGAGGGAAGAGAAGTGTTTAGTATATGGGATAGTTAGACCCCAGTGAGTCCAGAGCAGTGGATAAGTAGTTTGAACGGGGCCTGTGATCCTGGGCTAAGGTTATATTGGGTAAGAGGCATCATTTGCTCATTTATTCACTCAACAAACGTGTATTGAGCACTTATTAT